TTCTTCTTCTTCTTCTTCTTCTTCTTCTTCTTCTTCTTCTTCTTCTTCTTCTTCTTCTTCTTCTTCTTCTTCTTCTTCTTCGGGGGGGTGTCAAATGCTTGCTATTTGACAAACACATAAATGGATACCGTCCAGGGATGGCTAGGTAGGCTGTGACGGGGAACAGGTGTGAGCACACCTGGTGAGAAAGGAGGCAGAAACAGTCCTCGGAGGACTGCAGGTGGCCCTAGGCCTAGCCCCTTGAGAGCCAGGTGGGATTCTGACCCAGCGTGGAGGGTGTAAGGACTGTGAGGTCTGTGAGGGGAGGAGGGCTGGCTCTAGGAAGCCCAGAGGGGTTCAAGGAGGGGCTGGCCGATCAGCTCAGCTAGGTGGAGATCCTGAGTTGAGGCCCTAGGTCCTCTGAGGCCCAGGATGAGCCTCCTTGAGGGGCCACAAAAGATGCCGGACAGAGGCAGAGCTGCAGACTTCAACACGCACCCCCTCTGGAGCCCCCACGTCACCTCATCACCTCTTGTCAGCCCTGATGCTCTTAGCTGAGTTTCTTAGCCTTTCAGGCCCCCAGTTCTCCTCTCTGCAAAGGAATGGGGTGAGCTTCCCCTCAGAGCCTTGCTGGCACGCAGCTCACTGAACAGCAGCCTTTATGGTAATGGCTCCTTGCCCAGATGATAGAGCATAGGAGCAGTGTGGGCCTGAAGGGTCCAGCCTGTGTCATCACCCTCCCCCCCCCTCACATTGCTCAACCCCCAGGTCTGTACAGACAGCCAAGAGGAGCAGGTGGAGGAAGAGGCGGAGACGCCGGAGCAAGAGCCTTTGGTGTTCCACCATCACTATTTGCCTTGTCCAGTGGCCTCCTTGGGCACCATGTCGCTCTGGCCAGCCTCCTTCCTCCCTATGCCCCCACACCAGCCTCCCCGGCAGGGTGCACCCAGGATTCAGCGCCAGCCCCCTGCCTCCAGGCAAAGGGAGGTGTAAGTGAGACTTGGAGGGGCTTCAGCTTGGGCAGAGTCGGGGCTTGGAGGATCAGGTTCCTGATCTAGGCTGAAAGGACGAGCTTGCAGGTAAAGCCTCACCCGCCACCCTGAGCCTCTGAAGGGGTCTTTCTTCTCTCTCTCTCTCCCATCTCAGGAGAGACGTGCCCCCACCACCACCCCCCAGTGCCACGGGGACTGTTGGTGCAGACATACCACCAGCTTCAGGTAGGGGCTGGGAGGGTTGCCAGCGGGCAGACTAAGATGTCAGCAGGGCCATGTGCCCTGTGGATGGGGGCTTTTGCCAACCACGTCTCCAGGCTCAGCCTTGGGGTCCGCCAAGGTGGGACGGAGCAGGCTGAGGGTTCTGTCTCCCTAGACTACTACGATGCTGAGAGCCTGCCATGAAGACAAATATTCATCAGGCCTCGCCAGCTTCCGCACGGTGCTGCCAAAACCCTGGAACAACACTGCACCCATGCTGGAGCCCTTCTTAGCCTCTCTGCCCAGCTAAGCCCTCTCATCAGGCTCTCCACTCCACTGCCATACTGAGCTGGCTGTTCTGGAGTAAGAGCTCCCTTAAGCCCCACCAGGACCCGGAAGTTACATAAACCCAATTGATCTATGGTTTCCCCACCTGGACCAGGTGGGGACCACCTGGAACCAGAGCCCCATCTGGTCTCTGCCCCTTGCTCCTCTCTCTGGGGTGATGAAGGCTGTGTACCATCACCCTTGGGCCTGGAATAGGGTGAGAGAGAAATGGATGGCTTGGATCTCCAAACTCCTGAAGGCCCCAGAGGGCAGCATGGTTGAGGAGAGGCCCAGTTCAGGAGGCCCCAGCAGCTGCCTCAGCTCCTTTGAACCTCCTTTCATTGTTGGCAGAAAGGAGAGTCAGGGCTGTGTCCTGATCCAACCAGAAACAGCGTGAGGTCCCTGGGGCCAGGTCCAATCAGAATGCCCTCCATCTCATGGGACCTCAGGAAGAAATCAGTTGGTCCTAATGTTGTGGTTAGATGCCTGGAGCCTGGGCTGCAGGGGCTCTAAATAGCCCTGGGAAAGAGTAGGGAGGTGGGAAGAGCAAAGGGAGATCCTGGGGGGAACCCCTAACATTTCCCTGCCATAGGTGTGGACTGTTATCCCAGGAGCAGATATGGTGGGCACAGGGGAAAATCCAGGTGTTTGTATTGAGGCTAAAAAAAAAAAAAAAAAAAAGAAATGTCCTCAGAGTCTTGTGCTGTTGCCACAGTCCTTCAGCCAGCGCTAGACCAGACCCCGAAGATGCCACCAGGGGCCCTAGCAACAACAGCTCACACAGGACGTGACCGGAAGGCTCGGGGAAGCCTCCTCCAGGCAGCTAGCACCCCATAGGTGCCCGTCCGCCTCCTGTGCCAGTGCTGGCCGACGATGAAGCAGAGTAGGACGGATGTCACAAATAAGAACAGCAGTATCGACACCACTACGATAATGATGACCATCTGGTTGTCCTGCATAGGCTCTGGGGGAGGGAGAGGCGAGGGTCTTAGAGATCTTCAGGTGCCCCAGGGAGTCTACCCATCATTCCTTGCCCGCTGTCAGCTCGAGAGCAGACACCAGCGGCCTAAGGCGTCTACCTTCAGAATGACATCTAAGAGGAAGACCTCCGCTCTAGGCCATCAGGCAGGGCAGATGTCCTTCTCTCCCAGCACCCCCTGACACCGCTATGTAGTGGCTGGCCACCGTGGCCTGGAGGATGCCATGGTCAGGTTTAGACCATGCCCTTCTCAGGCAGAGCTGAGTGAGCTTCAGGCTTTGGCCATCCAGAGCCACAGAACAGCGATGTTCTGGGGAACTTGTGGGCTAGCCAGCCAGCCAGCCTTCTCTTTGTAGAAAGGAGCCATAACTAGAGAGAGCTCACTGCATGGTCAAGGCCACACAGCTCCATAATGGCCAAGCCAGCTAATTGAGCCCTCCTGTCTTCTGGAAAAGTTGGGGTCCAGCTTGGAACTTGGAGAGAGACCCAGGAAGTCAAGGGGAGCCCCCAGGATCGTGCATGTACAATCAACCACCTGAGAGTGGGGCTCATGGGTTTTCTTTCCCCAAGGGAACAAGAAGGAGGGCTACCTCTAACCCTCCAGGCCTGCAGGATCTCCTTACCGTAGACTTCAAGGACCCGGGATTCTGAGGTGCTACGGATGATGTACCCGCCATAGGGCCGCAGGTCCATCACGGCCTGGCAGGAGAAGTTGCGGCCATCCTTTTTGAGAGCTGTGCTGTTGAACGTGGCTGTGACTTCTTGGGGGTCGGTTTCAGCTCCCCCAAAGGTCTGGTTCTGCAGGGTCTCTCTGCCACGGAGCAGAGATAGGGTGAGGCTCTCGAGCGGCTTCACAGCGGAAACCTTGCACTCAATGGTGAAGACTTCACCCACAAACACCCGAGGGGGATGCAGCTTTACTGTGACCCAAGCTGGAGGCTCTGCAGGAGACATAAGAGGAAGGCCAGTTGGGATGGAGCTGCAGGTCCAGCCTGGCCAGGGCCCATTTCCTGGTATCCCATATCCCTAGCCAAGGAGAGAAAGTGGGTTTGGCCTGATCATTGAAAGAAGCAGCAGGAGGAAGAGAAGTAGAGAGTGGAGAGATGCTAGCTCTGTGAATGAGATTTGGAAAAGAGAAAAGGGGTCTACAAAAAGAAGATGCAGAAATGGTACAGCCAACTAGAAGGATATCAAAAACATCTGGGAACGTGCACTGGTGACGCACGCCTTTGATCCTGGTGCTCTGGAGGCAGAGGCAGGTGGATCTCTTGAGTTTGAAGCCAGCCTGGTCTACAGAGGGAGTTCCAGAACAGCCAGGGCTACACAGAGAAACCCTGTCTCAAAAATAAAACAAACACCACCACCACCACCCTCCCCCCCCCACCAAATGTGGGGCTTTTTCCATCCCCTCTAGATATTAAACACCAATTTCAAATTAAACACCTGGGTGGTTGTGTGGCAGGCATTTGGATCAGGGAGCTGCAAGCCTCCTCAGGAAGCCGGGGCGGGAGTCAGTTTTGTGTCACATATCCAGTCAGTTTCAATACCGTGTTATTCCAGATCCACTGAATGAGGACTATGGTGGTACCCGGGTTCCCTTCTCAACTAAAGCCTTTCCTCCACTCACCCCTACTCCACCTAGGACTTGGGATGTCTTTCTATTCTTTGATTCACCAATGTCAGTAATTCGTCCTGGGGTAATCCTAGCACTCGGGGAGGCAGAGGCAGGTGGATCACTGTGAGTTCGAGGCCAGCCTGGTCTACAAAGAGAGCTTCAGGACAGCCAGGGCCACACAGAGAAACCCTGTCTCAAAAAACAGCAGCCACAAAAACCCTTCACAGTCTGCTTCTGAGGTACAGGAGGACTCATGGAGTCCAGCCAAGGGTGTAAGCAGATCCCGGACCCACAGGCCTGGCCTGCTTGTGGCTCAGGAGCCCAGGGAGGTGAGGACCATGATGAGAAGACTAGGACCAGTCACTGAGCAGTTTGGGGACTGTGTAGTTGGCACAGGCCCTGCCCTGGGGAGTAGACACTCACGGTATACTCTGATTCTGAAGCTCTTCGATTGCTGTTTTTTCACACAGTTGAAGTAGCATAGAAGGTCCATGTCTTCGGAGATGTTTGAGACTAAGAACTGTTTCCACTTCCCTTGGGGGTGCTCGTCCAACTTTGTCTTAATCAGGGAGGTCTCCAGACCACCCGATTCCGGGGCCTCACAGTTGGTGCTGCAGTTGACTTTCCAAGAGTCTGTGGCTTCTACTATTTGCTTCTCGGACCAGAAGTAGACCTTAAACGCCTCCTCACCAGACCCTGTAAGACCAAAAACACTAGGTGGCAGATGTTGCTGATGTCTGCCCTTGGCTGTTTATTATCAGTGATTGTAATTAAGGCTCAAGAACACAGGTCAGCTCACCTGTGGGCCTTTTGCCCCATTCCCAGGTCAGGCCTATAGAGGCTGCCACCCAGGGACTACCCGTGCTCCTTCCCCCAGGCCCTCTGTCAGTCAGCCCTAGCTCGGTCTTCCTCAAGCCTGTCTTTGGCTTCCTGTCATGAACACACCAGAATGGCCAGAGCTAAGCTAGGAAGAGGAACGTTTAGAGACAAAGCTAGAAAAGCACCAGGCCACCATGAGAAGGACCGGTTGCACTAATGGCTCATAATTTACGTCGATGCTCCTTAGACATTTTGGAGCCTCTAGAAGGCTGGGCCTGAGTTTTTCATGTTTCTCTTCGTTCTGGCCACAGAGCCCTGTGCAGGACGGATTTGGGGTCTACTGGGGTAAGAAGATGAGACCCCCATTGCTCGCCTCCACTCTTTGAGGACGTCCTCACCAAGCCTGTGTTTTCTACCTCCCCACATGGCCTCCTCAGCATTGATAAAGTGGTAAGAGGGCTTTCCATGTAGAGACAGTGCTGGATTTGAGCTCAACATTCGCCGTGCCTGGGCTGGGCGGCCTGGGGTTGGACACGCTCTTTCTGTGAGCCTCGGTTTCTTCACTTGTTAAGAGGGCTAATGTGCCCTCCCCTGGGTCCTGAGTGCAACCAGGCTTGAAAACATTTGGCAGAGTGTCTAAGGCATAGGGCACTCAGCGCGCCCTGGCTGTTTCCTTCCAGGTCTCCTCAGCCCACTCAGAAGGGTTTCATTTTCACTTCGCTGTCCTTGTAAGCACTAGGACATCATCTGCTGCCCTCTGCTGTCCACTGGCCCCCTTGGCACACTGCCTCCTCTTCACTCAGACCCTGGCATCCCTTCCTGAGCCTCCCTTTTACCCACTGCTCACCATCCAACCTTGCTATAGCCTGTCATGTCAACACTCCCAGAGCTCTGGGGCTTGCTCCATGTAGTAACCAAGAAGCTAGAACCAAGACTCCATTTGATAATCATGATCCTAGTCACGTGTCCGTACCTATGGTGGAGAGGCCTCTGTGGCCAGGGTGCCTCGCTCCTCAACCCGAAACCCAAGGAATAGTGCAAAACTCCCCACCCTGAGATGCCACGTGCTGGGAACCCCAGGGCCCAGCTTACCTGGACAACACAGCAGGGAAAGAAGAGTTAGAGATAGGCTCCAGCAAGCGAAAGAAGACATCTCAGGCGGGGTTGGTGGGGTCTGTGGGCTCCAGGGACACAGCTGGCGACTGCCTGGAGGGAGACGGGGAGATGGACACCACAGGTCCGGGGACTGAAGGCTGGAGCTCCGGGCTCAAATCCGTAGTCTCCTCTGAACCAGTGATCTCATTTCCTCTCATTATCTGAGATCAGGAAGCCATAGGCCCAGACCAGCTCCCAAGCCTTCAGGCCCTCAAGAATTCAGGCAGAGGAAGCCGGGAAGCAGCTGATAAGCAGGGGGGCAACATGGTCCTCCCGCGTGGCTCACTCCCGGCGCAGGGTTAGGAAAACAATGGGAGCACACATGCGGGGAAGTGAGTGTGGCTTGAACAAATGCATGCGTGTACATATTATACATGCATGTGCTCACGTGTGTGTGTGTGTGTGTGTGTGTGTGTGTGTGTGTGTGCGCATGGAATTCCTATTTCCATGCATGAAGCAGAATGAAGCCTTCAAGGCTCAGATCTGGGAAACTCTGAATTCTACCGGGCCTTTGTTGGAGTCATCTCTGGGGTTAGAACACAGTCATGTTGTAATCTGCTCATGCCCTGCATGTCTGCACACCTTATAATGTCTTGCTTAGTTTCCCAGCCAAGACTAACCCTAACTCAGCCAACACAGGGCTCACACAGGGCTCAGAGACGGCAAAAGGGCAGCCCATAATCTCCAGTGGCTCAGGCCCAGGAGGTCAAGGAACAGTGGCTACAACCTATTCCCAAATCCTAGGCCCTTTCATGGGCTGACATAGCGTCTTCCTGTCCATCTACCCTCCAGATGGGGCCTTGGTCTGGGAAGGTTAGAGCCCGAGGCTTTGTAGGCAGGCTTTTCCACAGTCAGTGGTCTCTGATGGGATAGAGGACTTCCCATGTGATGCTCTACTCACCATATAGCTCACCTTACTCAGTTCTGTCCTAGAACCTGGGGGACAGGCAGGGCAAAGGCAGGCCTCTTTGCTTTCTCGGTGGAATCCCAGAAAGGGCCTATTCGAAGGAAGTACCAGGGTTTTGAGGGCTCATTGCCTGAGCTCAGGAAGCCAGGTGAAAGGTCAGCTCCCAGACCATCACGCCCTCTGGATCTTAAGCCTCAACAGTTCAACCTGTGAGCCAGGTTCCTGGGCTGGAGGGCATGGTGATGTCCTGCCTTCCCACAGCACTGAGTCCTGAGTCATGGCTGCTGTGCACAGCTATCTAGCGCAGATGTTATCAGCCTGGATCCAGAGAAGTTCCTGCATAAGGCTGTTGGGCTTTGAGGTCATGCCAGAAGAAAGGCAAAGGCAGAGTAGGGAGAGAAAAGAGGGAGAAGTGGAGTGGGGCCGGGGGTGGGGTGGGGTTCTGATCTCACTCGAAGCTGACAAGAGTGGGGAGAGCAGGGCACTGTACAGCCAGGAGGGTTTGGGTGGTAAGATGGGGACTGGCCTCCTCTGGGCAACAATACTGATAATGATGATGTGATAATAATACAGCAACACAGACAGACAGATGTTACTTAGGGAGGAAACGAGGTCTTCTTTCATTTTGGGGTGCTGGTAACTAGATTCGGCACCTTCACCCATGCTAGGAGGCGATCAGGGTCACTTCCCTAGTACCCTTTGTGCTGTTCATCCTGAGACAGGGTCCCACGAAGCGGTCCACACGGGCCCTGGCTCACTTGGTAGTTCAAGTTCAGAGAAATCTGTCATCGGGCAGTTTGTGGTGGTGAGAGCATTACAGTGTCTGCACAAACCTAGATGTACAGGATACTACCTACGTCGTGTACATAGTTATACATGCTGTACTTGAACACGGCCGCAGTCCAGGAGCCCGAGCAGGGAGCATTGCAATGTGTACAATGCTATGATGGCTGTAATGTCTCTAGGTGGAATGAATTTTCTAGCTCCAGTGTAATCTTCTGGGACTCCTGGTTGTCCATGGGAACCGTCGTTAAGGGAAATGTTGTCTTGGGGCATGCGGGCGGGCGTAACTACTTCAGGCTGGTGACCGTCAAAGCCTTGTATAAACAATTACTGTTTATACAATTGCTCATACAATTACATTGTATAAACTAATTACTCCTAAACAAGCTCCGACTGTTCTCATCTCCTAGGAGGAACTGAGACACAGAGAGGCTAAGTTGCTTGACCAAGGTCACATAACCAGGAAAGAGTGACGTCCCTATGAGTGACAGGCAGCTGTGCTAGTTGAGGAGGGGCAAAGGAAGTTGCCTGGTGGGAGGGGCGTGCAAGGCAGAAGGCCAGAAGAAACTTCCAGAAAGGGCTCAAAAAACCGAAAGCAAATAACCATGCCCAGAACAACTGTGGAAACACAGCAGGGTGATAAAAAGACATCACACAACAGAAAGAGAAGAGAGGCTTCGGGGTTGGGAAGGCAGGTGGGGGTTATCTTAGCGGTAGTTTCATTTTGTAAGATTGGTTTCGAAGATTAGTTGCAGAACAATGCAAATGTGCTTGGCTGCAGATAAATAAGCAAATGGGTACACCAAATATATACATATATACATATTCACAATTAAAAAATAAATAAAAATAAGCCAGCACTCGGGAGGAACAGGCAGGCAGATCTCTGTGTTCAAGGCCAGCCTGGTCTACAGAGTGAGTTCCAGGATGACCAGGGCTACACAGAGAAACCCTGTCTAGACAAACCAGTAATTAAATAAATAAATATAAATAGAAACCAGCCAGGTGCAGGGACTCAGTTGTATGAGGTCCAGTGCCGCTTGGATGGCTTGGATGGCTGAGATGGATGGAAGGCTATTTGAAGCCTGTGTAAGCTACTCTCAAACGCCCCCCCCCCAACAGTAATAAAGACTATGAATAACGTTTGCCAAAAAGTAGGGAACAGATCTTAGAAAACAGATCTTAGAAAAATAAACTTTTCAGACTTCATCTGAGAAGAAGTCAAGAGTCTGAGCCCGGGCTCCTGAGATGGTCCACTCAGAGGGTAAAGACTCTTGCCACCAAGCCTGATGACCTGAGTTGTATCCCGGGGACCCTCGGGTGACAACTGACTCCCACAGGCTGTCCTCTGGTGTCTATGTGTGTGCTGTGGCAGGCCTGTGCCCCCTAAAAAAAAAAAAAGATGTAATAGCGTATAAGAGAGAGAGAATTTCTTTCCCAGCTGACACACAGATTCAATGAAATTCCAGTGAATCCCAATAAGGTTGTATGGAAATTGAAAGCTGATCATAAAGTGTTTGTGGGAGCATGAAAGGATCAAGACACTCCGGAAGAATAAGATGGGCAATTTGCTCCTTAAAGATTGAGATTTTTAACATAAACTATTGGGGGTGTAGGAAGATTAATTAGTGAGTCCGGGTTTCTAGAACCTAGAAACCCACGCGTGGCTAATACACGACAATGGTGACACTGTGGATGGCTGGGTAAAAGGAAGGCCCGTCATGTGAGGCTGGGCGGATTGATTAGCCAGATGGGAAAAGGGGGCATGGTATCCCCGCCTCACTCAGTTCCATTCCCATGTGAAGGAGAACTTTATAAACAGCAACAAGTAGGCATATTGGGCTATTATGTCATTGGGGTAAGGTATCAGGCAACACTTAAGAACCGCCAATCATCAAGAATAGCGGCTCAATGGGTAGAGCACTTCCCTGGCGTGCACGGGTCCTAGGTTCCATTCCCAGCACTGAAAAATAAATAAACAATTAAAGCGTTGGTAACCTAGCGTGTCAAAGTCACAACACAACTTCAAGGAAAGAGGACATTACTAAACAGTAGCCAGGAAATTAAAAGGAAAACCATGTCTACTAAGTCGGCGGAGGTTATGAAAGCTGACAAGGTCAATTTCGGGAGAAGTTTTAGGTCAGTGACAACTTTTTAAATTACTAGTGGGTGAGTATATTGGTCTCCCGGGGAACAACATTATCTTGAAAAACTGAAGAAAAGCAGTCATTTTATTTTGTATTTTTATGTTTGTTGCCAGAAGAGGGTGTTGGATAAACTGGAGTTAAGGTGATTGTGAGGTACTTGGGTGCTGGGAATGGAACTCCTGTCCTCTGCAAGAGCAGCGGGCACCGCTGAGCAGCCTTTCCAGGCCAGAGATAAGTAGCCAATGCCCTATAACGCACGGTTCCCCGACTAGCTGTGCACACGTCCTGGAAGAGCTGCTGTGCTAAGGCTCACACAAACACCCACTTCCTATTGTCTGTGCGACCTTTGGCAAATCAATCTCTGTATGTTTCCACCCCATCATCTGTAAAATGGGATTAATGAGAATATCTCCTTCATAGACTTGTGTGAAATAAATGAATAAACCCCCCCCCCCCCCCCACACACACACCTTGAGACAGAGTAGTTCAGGCTGGCCTTGAATCCGACATACAGCTGAGGCTGCCTTTGAACTCTTGATCTTTAGTTCTTTACCACTCAAGTGCTAGGTTTGCGGGTGGCTGCCACCACACCACATCTGGCTTAAATGAGTTGATGTTTTAAGGCACTTGGAATGCTAGGTACCATGTGACTGTCTCACAAAATAAAAATGAGTATGTTTGTATGACCAAGACCTTCAGAGAATACACTAACACAAAATTCTGGCAAGCGGGTGGAAAGAGGGTGGCCCTCTGGGAGCAGAGCCCATCAAAGTTTTAGTGACATGTCATCAACAGCCATTATGCTGCTGTGCACCATGGTGACAGACATTGTCCCAGACGCCTTCCTACACATTAAGTGCTCAGTTTTACAAAAAGAAGACAGAGGGCAAAGGAAAGTTGCTGAATGTCTGCAAGAAGAGGAGGCTGGGTGGCAACGTAGGCCACAGCTTTGCTGGGTCTCCTGTCACTGACGGCGTGGCTCCCACGTGGCTCACTGCAGGGAAGGGGACTGTGTCTTCCCAGGTCACACAGAGCCCACGTGGACCTGGGGGTAAGAAAGCCATGGCCCTGTACGGCTTTAATCCCAGCACTGAGATAAAATCAGGCAGAGCTCTGTGAGTTCCAGGCTGGCCAGGGCTGTTTCTAAATCTGCAGTGGACACCACCCTGATCAGGAAAGGGGGGAAGAAAGCTAAAAACAGGAAACAGTAAGGCGGGGCTGGGGACAAGGAAAACAAGCGCTTCAGAACCTCTGAGGGAGGCTCTCTCTCGGGGATCCCCCGAAACCGCTGTCCTTACCAGAGCTGGGTGAGGAGCTGAGGCCTAGAGGGAGGAAGAGACCAGAATTCAGGCTTGGAAAGTCCAAGGTTCCCTGCTTCTGGGCTCGTTGGAGGGGAAGTGGGGAGGCCAGAGGCCATGACTTACCGTGTGGGGGTTCAGATGCTGGCATTTGGGGATCCTGCCACAGTGTGGTGTGTGTGTGTGAATGTGTGAGCGCGCGCGTTTCTACAAGTTCAACATTTAACTCTCAGGGTCACGTGTTTCCTGTGCCCTGGTTTCTACACCAAATGAACATGACTAGCTCTACCCCCCCCCCACTGTCATGAAATACACCTGACACAATTTACTACTTTATCTACTTTTTTTTTTTTTTTTTTTTGAGGCAGGGCCCCCCCACCATAGACCAGGCTAGCCTCAAATTCAGTCTTCCAGCCAGACTTTTGAGGACTACCTAGGATTATAAGCACAAGGCAGGAGGCACCATGCCTGGCTCTTTGACCATTTTCAAACGTACAGTTGTGTTGCTCTTGGTACATTCACCATGGACCAGCTCCAGGACTTAACACCTTTCCAAACTGAAACTCCAGACCCATGACAGTAATTCTCCATTCCTTCCCCAGCCCCTGAAAACCTCCACTTTATCTTCTGTCTCTGTGCTCATCTCTGGGTCCTTTTGAGATTGCTTTTTTTCAGTTTGGCTTCCCCGCTTCCCCTCGGACGAGCCCTGCAGCACGGAACTTCTGGACCCTTTGTTAAGTGTCAAGCCTGAACTGTGGTAAACGCGGCGGGGGGGGGGGCACCTCCCCCCTCCGTTTCCTCCGGGTTCATCCCGTGGTGGCATGTAGCAGAATGACCTTTTCTAAGGCTGGACACTGTCCCACCGTACACAATCACAGACCACGCTTTTACCGTTCACCTGTCCCCAGCGGATACCTGTGGTAGCTTCCGGTTCCTGGCTGCTGTAAACACTGTTGGCACGCACATGGCGCTCAAACTGCCCTTGCCTTGAAACAGAGTATTAGTGCGCTCGCTTATTTAGTGTGTGCACGTTCATGAATGCCCATGTGCATGACACACAGCGGAGGTCAGGGAACTGGTGGGTCTCAGGGACGGAACTCAGGTCATCGGGTTCGACACACACCTTTAACTGCTGAGCCACGTGGTCAGCTCAAATACATACCCGTTTTTATTTTCTCTTCCTCTCTGCCCCCTGGCCAAAAGAAAGTGGGCATCTCATGTTCCCTGCAATAATGCTTTGTGCCCCTTGCCCAGGAACAGCACAGGCAAGGGACCATTGACTGAGAACTCAGAGATCGTGACCTAAACTAAAATCTTATCAGAGCGAGCAAGGACCTCTTGAGAGATCCTTAGGTCACTTGGAGACCATCCCTGAAAGACGTTGTTCACCTGAATTCCCTTCTCTTTGCTTGAAATGGGGCTGTCCCTTCTGTGAATGCGCCAGCCGCTGCAGAAACGTGCCCCTATATAGTATTAGAGGACTATGAATCTGAAAACAGTTAAAGGGCTGGGCAATCTTGGCTTTCAGTTCTTTGGGAACATACCCCAGGGCAGAATTGCTGTAAGTTACAGAAGAATGGCTGTCCTGATGTGCAGTTTCTTGAGGCCTTGGATGGAATGAACCACTCACGGATCCTCTAGGCTTTGTCCGGGTAGCAGCACAGAACACTTCCTCTGGCTGTGTCCTGCACACTACAAAAACCTGTTAGTGACTAAGAACCATCACCTCGGGTCTCTTCCTGTCTGTGGCCTCACTCACTCCAGCAGGAAGTTCGTAAGTCAGGTGCAGGGGTGGGTGCTGGGCAGCCAGCCAGCCAGCTTCACTCAAAAGCAAAGGCTCTTGTTCCCAGGGGTCAGCTTCGCAATCCACACCAGTTAAAAGTTCTGGCTCGGCAAAGCCACACATTAGATCTCACCAGTAGTGTACAGAAGCTTCCGGGCTGTGAGTGAATGCCAACCGTGGATGCTGAGGGTCTGGAGCAATTTCACTTGGTGCTTCTGTGCCTCAGTTTCTCCAAAGCACCCCCTCCCAACCAAGACACAATTTCTCTGTGTAGACCAGGCTGGCCTGAACTCAAAGATCTACCTGCCTCTGACTCGGGTTCTGGGACTAAAGGTGTTTACCACAATGCCTGGCTTCAAAATAATTTTTTAAAATATCCTGCCACACCGGGGACTCACGTGACCATCGTTTTGGCAGCATGTGTTGTGGACATAAATTGGGGTGGACATCTCTAACCGTCAGCATCCTATTGTATGCTTTTTATTATCATTGTCAACACCTTAGGTATAATCAATCTGTAAAAATTATGTGTATAGGTCTGTGTACACCATGCATACCTGGCATCCATGGAGGCTAGAAGAGGGCATTAGAGCCCCTGGACACGGAGTTACAGGTAGTTGTTAGCCACCATGTGGGTGGTGGGAATTGAACCCAGGTCCTCTAGAAGAGCAGCTAATGCTCTTAACCAGTGAGCCTTCTCTCCAGCCCCAGTAATCAAACTTAGGAGAAATGTTTAGTTCAGTTTTAGAAGTTTCAGGTCCTAGATGGTGGCGGGGCTTCTAGCAAGGGCAGTGTGTAGCGATGGTGGAAGCCTGATGGAGGAGGCAGTCACACGGCAAGCCACTAAGCAAAGTCCTACGGTCCCTTTTGACGTGGGATAGGAGGACATATTCAGTACTGGGATGTCACACTCGTACTCCACATTGTAGGGCAATTGGGATGTCTATGTCATTACTGGCTTAGCACAGGCACATTGTTACTTTTTCTAATTCTGAGTTGACCCCCTTTCTCCCACAGGGGCAGAGAGGTGAGGGAGAGGTCTACATATTGTTTTAGCAGAATGAGGAAGGGCTGTCAGTGTCAGCAACAGCCAACTAACCACAAGCCGAAAGCGAAGCAGGGTGTTGACGAGGGCAGGGAAGGCCAGCGCTTCCTGGTGGACTGAGAGTCACTGCCCGGAGCCCAAATGAGAGGCTGTGGGTCAGTTTGGAATCATGGGTTTACACAGAAAATTTGTAAAACGTCCATCAAGAGCTTGTAAATAATAGGCACACAATGAGGTTTGGTTGCTACAGTCGGTGTCTGGACACACGCTTATCTGTGTCCTTGTTGGTTGTGGGAGGAGATAGTGGCACTTCCACTACTGCAGGGTTCACGGAGTGCCCACCTCCAGGACCACCCCCGCTCCACAAGAGAAAGGGTAGCATATGCGCTGGTCAACATTAATTCTTACTAGGAAGAGCTTGTGGCTGTGGGTTACTTAGGAAACTATCGGCTAACTAAGAAGCTGGCTTTAGAAAGCCAGATCCCTGGGGGGAAAAGATGGCTCAGCGGTTAAGAGCACTGGCTGTTTTTTTTTCCAGAGGACCCGGGTTCAACCCACCACTCACTGGCTCACCACCGTGACACTAGTCCCGTGGGACCCCACACCTTCCATGGCACTGCGTATGTGTGGTGTGCAGGCAAAAACACCCATATACCTAAAAACAAACTAAATGAAACTACATAAAGAGTGTTAGAAAAACAAGAAAGCTAGGTCTCTTGGTCCTCTTTGGTCTGGACCCCAGCTTCATTTCAGGGGGTCCCGCCGCAGAATGTGGAGTCCAGTCAGCGTCCAGGCTGGGCATCCTAGTGGCCATACTGATCACGCCACTGCGGAGGAATGGGGCTGGACACAACACGAGTGCCACCTAGTGGTGAGGAGAATTACAGCTCTGGCTAGGCAGGGTGGCCGCACCAAGCATTCCTCTGTGCTCAAAGGTAGATTTGGACACAGGTGGGTCCCTGAGAAAGTGCATGGACTGAAGAAGCTGGGTTTAGAAAGCCAGATCCCTGGGGGGAAAGATGGCTCAGCAGTTAGGAACACTGGCTCGTTCTTCCAGAGGAACCGGGTTCAATCCAGCGCTTACTGGCTCACAATTGTAACGTTAGCCTGTAGGCCCACAGCCCAGTCTGGCCTGAAACTTACTGGATAGCCTAGGTTGTCTAGACCTTGTGGCAATCCTGCCCCAGTCTCCCAAGGGCTCGGGCTACAGGTGTTAGCCACCAGGTAGTTCTGGTATGCGCTTTGTCTACATGGGGTATGTGCACATGAGGACAGGTGCTTACAGAGGCCAGGGCCAGTGCTGGGTCCTCTGGAACTGGAGCTACAGGTGAGGCACCCCATGTGGGTGCTGAGAGCTGAACTGGGGTCCTCTGGAAGAGCATCGAACACCTAACCACTGTGCTGTCTCTCTAGTCCCCTGACAGACTAATTTTAAGGAGAGTAATATATATATCCATAAACATCCAAAGCTCAAGAGCTGACATAGAGAAGGTGGTACCCATGAGGACAAGGCTGGACTTGAGCTCCTGGTAATCCTCCTCAGCTTTTTTTTTTTTTTTTTTTTTTTTTTTTTGATACAAGACCTTACTACATAGCCCTAGCTGGCCTGAAACTGGCTTTGTAGATTACGTTGGCCTTCAAACTCACAGAGACTGGCCTGCCTCTGCCTCTGGAGTGCTGGTATTAAAGGTTGAGTATGACGGTGACCAGACTCTCCCTTCTTTAACGTGTATTTGTTCAACTGGAGACCAGAAGAGAGACTGTAGTGTTTCTTTAGGAAGAGGCCAAGGGTGGCTGTTTACAAGAAAACCAAACAAGCACAGGGTTTACAGTTTGCTTTTCTTTTTAACCATCAAATAGTACCAGGTTAAACGGCAGCCAATTATATATTATATACTCTACTGTGCCTGGCAGTGACCCTCTTCCTGTGTTAGAAGAATCTCCCACCTTGGGAGTCTAAGGACTGGGATCTCCCACTAGAGAGGGAGACAGTACTGGATGGACACTGGCTTTCAAAGCCTCCTTTGCTCCTCCTAGACTTCTCATGCCTGTGTTGTTGTTTTGGAGACAGGTTTCTCTGTGTAGCCTTGGCTGTCCTGGACTGGCTCTGTGGACCATGTCGCTGCCTCTCTGAGCACTGGGATCTTAAGGCGTGTGCCACCATACCTAGACACTCATGCCTATTACTCGGAGACGGAAGAGGAGTGCAGGAAGGCATTTCCTGGAGGTAGGGGCAGAGGGGCTTTAATGAGGTCAGGGAGTTCTGGGGCACAGAACTGGCCTCCCTCCCATCCCCTGTCAGCAGCCTGTCTAGCCACCCTGAGGCCAGCAGAGAAAACACTCCAACAACCTAACTCCCCACCTCCTTGCATCACCACCCCTAGCCTCACCTCTTGAAGGCTCTGCTGTCTACTGAGGTGTCCCAGTAGTATTATTCTGGGGACCAATTTCAAAAGGCTTTTATGGATCATGGAAGAGGTTGGTTTCTGTCTCTTGGGGATGTTGGCTGAATTCAAGATTTCATACTTCAGAGGCAAGATAAGACCACAAGTCTCAGGACCCTCCTAGGCTTCTGAGGCATCCACACAGTGCCTGATGAGCTGTTCTGGGGCCAGTGGGACTCTGGGGTCTGTACTTTGTGAACAGCCCTTGTCTGGGGGAAGAGCACGGGGAGCCTCCACAACGTGTCCAGACAAGATGGGCTGGGGAAGCATCTGTGCAGACTAAACTGGCCGTCGGCTGCCTCAGCACACCTCCCGGGGGCACGGCTGTCTTGTGAGCCGCTGACATACTCCGGTGGGCCTGTCCCTCTTCCCTGTGCTTTTTTAGTGCAGTTAATCACAAGTCCTTCTTTCTTCCCAGGTGTCTTGGTCTAGAATTATACTCACCATATACAAACCCCAGGCTTTGACTGGGAGCCTAATTCCCATTCTGTGGTAGGTTGGTTCCTATGGGCCATCTTCCAGAAATTCAGTTAAATAATACTTGAAAAAAAAAATTCTGCAACATTTCAAGGTAGTCTTTTCCAAAACGGCCCCCAAAGGGGAAGTTCTAAGTCAGGACACAACGGTAGATGCCAGTGAGCCATCTTCTCACACGCTCAGCCAGCTGTTCAGGCCATGCAGATGCTGCGGCCCTCAAGATGGCGGGCCCAGCTCCTTGCACTGAGCAACACTCTAGTCTTTAAGAGGCAAAGCAACTCCCAAATCTAAAGCTACCTTTATTTGTGGTTGGCTCAGCATAAGTCGCCTTCATCAATGATCAGAATTATAAAACTGTACAGGAGGTAAAAAAAAATAGGCCATTAAACTTAGATAATGACCCTCATATCATGAGCTTTAAAAATACACATAAAAGTTGTACAGTCTGGCAGTTTATAAAATATAAAGCTAAAAAGAATATTTTAGTTTCCACAAAGAGGAGTGAATCATACAATCAGCACATATTAATTAAACAATTAACTGTCCACAGAGAAGACACATGGCACAAGATTTTTAAAAAATCATCTAAAAATTAACATTTACCCAGACCAGATTATTCACCATTTAAAGACAAGGCTATCATAAGGTGGCAGGAGACAGTGTAACTTCCTTTTCCAGTTTTAAAATGGTCAGGGGTATTGTTCAAAACATATCTGATGTGCTTTAAGCAAGTGCAATTTTAACCGGATATTCGAGTAAAAATTAAATAAATATAAATAGATTCAATAAATAGGTCATTGCGAAAAGAACTACACAAGTCTTCGTGTGGGGATGCCACACAGCTGACTAGTAATGCTTAGGTGAGTGGGGACTCCCCCATCACAGTTTTAGGGAAAACTGGGAAAGAATACTATACCCACCAAACACATGGGGGACAGGAGAGATGAGGCCACAGGGCCCTGGCAAGCAGCGTGGCTAAGGCTACTGCAGAGGGAAGCCTCAGAGATGTGCCTCTGCGGCTTTCTAGTAACAGAAAAGACCTAGTGCCAGAAGCAACCAGAACTCCACACAGAAAATCACTAGTTTCACCATGAAAATCAAGAATGGGGAGAGAGCGAGCAGGCACTTTGGCTTGAAAGAGGTCAGACCCCAGTTGGAAGATAACCTTCAGGAGAAGCTGATGCCAAGCCCCAGGCGGCCAACACCATGGCTTCCAGACGTGAGGGATGGGCAAGGATAGAACTGCTGGAAAACCAAACCAAACACAGAGCAGGGCTACCAGAGAACTTCAAGAGGCTCTTTCCAGGAAAGCTGTTGCTTGCTCTTCTGGCTCTTCCTGCACCTCTGGACCATGACGATGAAGACAATAAACAAGAAGCAGACCCAGGAAGAGATAGAAGAATCCTGGCACAGCTGGAGAGAGGGACCTGCAGGAAGGCACACAGGACCAAAGCTCTGCAAATGACAAGTAGCCAGCACAGGAGAGCCTGCAGCCAGAGGTGGCTCTGTAGGAGGTCACAGCAGCAGCCAATTGATTGGCCTTTCACTTTGGGAAAAGGAACTGCTGCAGCTAACTGAATCACAAGCACACAAAACCTCCACAAAGTCAGTGGGTGCCAAGGAAGAGTGCCCTGCTTATCTTCAATTTGGTGGAAAGCATTTGGCTACGCCTGCTGACCTCAGACCTCAGACCTCTACCTTCTCTGTGATGCACCATGGGAAGGGCCTACAGTACTGCTGTATCAAGGTCCGGGAACACGTCCGCACCCAGGGGTTCACCTTCATTCTCTAGATGGTCTATCCGATTATCAAGTGACACCTTTGTTCCCAAAGTGCAAGTGCTTTGGTGCCTCGTGAAACGGCACACTTCCTAAACTGAAAGTTCAACACAAGACAAGGTTTAAACAAAGATAGCATTCCAGACACAGCTCAGTTCCATACTAAAGCTGAAGATGCTGTACTTGTAGACAGCTGGGCAGTCTTCCAGGGATCCTAGCAGCCTCTGAGGATGTGCAACTCTACAGAGCTGCCCTGGCCTAAAGATTGACAGTGTCTCTTGCCGAGCACCTCAGATGCCCAGTATTTTCACAACACACTTGGAAAGCTGATAACTGTCTGGGTCCCTAGAGAACAGACAGTAAGAGAGCTGAGCAGAGCTGATTGGTTCTGAGATGGGACAGTTTTAAGGCACAAGCGGGGCAAACCCCAAATATATACCCACTTGAGTTTTCTTTCTGCCCTGACACTTATGAGCTGCTGACTCTCATGAGGCTTCAAAAGGCAGAAGTCTTTCCTGTATTCATCTGTGTCTAACCATCCCGCCCAGCTCTACAGAAAGTTTTCAGATAAGCATGATGAGCAGAGGACTTTTGGAAATTTGACTGGCTAGAAACTGACCTGATAAGAGGCAAGGACATTTGAAAAGCGGACTCCAGGCAAACTTGGAGGTAACACCAAGCTGGGCCTTCAGAGAAGACTTCAGCCCTTTCCAAAGGGAAACTCGGCCATGAAGAACAAGGCAAGCAGCAGTCCCTGAGGCAAGCGTCAGACCACACGGCTTCCACCTCCTCACACTGATCATGGGCTGTTCTCTCTTGGGCCCATTAACAAAGTGCTATGCTAAGAAGACGAGCAGGAAGCTAACCGTGGGGCTGGGGTTCCAAGGTCTACACAGCATCACCCATGAGGTTCAAAGATGTAGGATTTTAAGATCTTAAGAGCCCACACTTCAGCCACTACGGAAGTAAAGAAATAAAAAATCTACAGCAGCAGAGGAAGCTTGAGTAAGCGACCCTGGTACCAGCACACCCAGCAGCAGACCTCTCAGGGAATGCCGGGGCAGTGACTCTGGTCAGTGCGGTTCATAAAGCTGCCAAGGCCACTCTAAACATAGAACAGAATGGAGCCTCAGCCACACACCAGAGACCACCCACTGGCTCCAGAGATTCTACACAGACCCCTCCCACACAGACCCTAACTTCATTCTAACCTCTAAGCTCTTTGGAGGGAGAAGACAGTAGATTCTGACTGGAATTAAAGTTAAAATTTTAAAGAAAAATGATACTGATGTAATTACTTTGACATTAATACATAGCGTCGCTAAAATGTCTTACTCTTCAGCATTAGAGAATGTTCTACATTCTTGAGAGAATGGCGATTTTTGGTACCACACAGAACAGAAGATATTATACCTTGCATTTCTTCTTCACAAGTGTCAAGTTATACTTAACTTACTTATGCAAACGTAGCTTTCTGCAATATGATCAAAATATACTCATTAAAATTTGCCCAGAGAAACACAAAAGCTGGCCTAAAAAACCTGTGGTGGCCCTGCCCTTGGCTGTCTACCCCAGGGCTTTGACTCACAGTCTATGCTAGTCTGCTGGCCCCTGGGGTAGATGGGCCTACCACTTACCTTCTGGTTCTGAGCCTCTCCAGTGACTGGGGAGTTCCCTCTAGTTCCTCTTCTCTGGCCCTTAAGACCTGTCTCTGTCCCTGTCTGGCCTTAACTGCCTGCTTGGTGGCCAGGGAACTCTTCACCTCTGGCCCACATGGCCAGGACTCAACCCATTAGGGACCACTTTGCTGGGCCAGCACTGCATCCGGAACTGAGTGTCCTCTTCATCCCCTAGACTCACGGACATACCTCAGCTGCTAACGAGTCCCCACACCCCACGCTTATAGCTTGCTGCACGAAGCATCACAGGCTACCACTAACTTGGGGATGCCTCCTCTCCCCATGAAAACGCCTCTGAACGTCCTCTTCCTTAGCACTCCACATCTCTCAATCCATTTCCAGCAGGGGCTGTACTTGGTACACCCCAGCCAGGCTGCTTCTAGCATGTAGACAAAACAGGATCCCTCCACCCCTCACTGAAAGGCCCCCAAACTGCCACCCCACAGAAATTTTAGAAAGAAATGTAAGTGGAAGTGAGTTCATCCAGTGAAAGGGAAGCGAGCTCATCCAGTGAAAAGGCTGATGTTGCTCCTTTTGCAGCCTCTGGGACAGGCCCACCTTCGCAGACATCCCTGACTACGAGGCTTCAGGGCCACATCTCCCCAGGTCTCTGTGGTCATGAGGGGCCACTTCTCCAGCTTCCTAGGATCAGCGTTATCCTCTTCTGGCTGCACATAAGCAGCTCAAGGCACTTGATTAGAGAAGCTTAGTCTTCCTCCTAATCCCAGAGGCAACAGACCCTGACTGCAGAGATCAGGCCCATGGTCACTGTTGGGGCCACCAGACCAGAGGGGCTGCCCTAGCTCAGAGGGCATCTGGAGTCACTGGAGGTTGGGGTTCTGTGGACTCGTGCAGGTAGTAGGTCTGGAAGAGTCTCTCATGCCTGCACAGCTCCATGGCTCGGTAGGTATGTAAGAGGAGCTGGGGGAAACGAGAAGTGAAGTAGCGCACGAAGTCATCAGGGATGGAGCCCAGGGTCTCCTGAACCTCCTCAGGCAGTTCTCGGTAGTGGTGCTTCTGTGAACGAGCAGACAGACAGCTTTAGCAGCTGGAAGACAGTGCTGAGGGCCTCTCTGGAACAAAAGGCTGAGACATTCATGTACTGACAACACACCCCAGCCGTCCTGTCTCTTTCTTCCTTCAGAAGTAGAGCTCTAGGCAGGTAAGACTCAGCCTAGGAAGAGCAGCTTTAGCTTCACCATGTGGCTGGCAGCTTGGAATTGTGTGTAGTGTTTGTCCCAACAGGCTTGGAGGCTCCCTCTGTGACTGGGTCTGCCCTTTGTGAAGGCTTTTTAGTGACAGCAAGGTCAAGAGCAACCCCTAGGACTCCAAGAGGACATAAGGGAACCCTTCCCAAGTTCCTGAAGACCTTGCCTTGTATAGAAAAGTCACCAGAAGCCCCGTTAGAGAGTGTTTATAAGCTGGCTGCCAGGCAGTCAGAGGGTACCATAAATCGGCAAGGAGACCATGAAGCACACACGTTCTAGAAGATTGGTCCATAGAGCTTTACCCTGCCTTCTACAGTCTCTGGAGAAAAATTCCTTGAGAGAATACATGGCCTTTTACTTAGTGTGGAGGCTGGAATGAAAATGCTTCCCATAGGCTCATATATTTTAAAGTGTGGTTCCCAACTGGTGGACCACTTCGGATCAGAAGGTGCATGTGGCCCCGGTGGAGGAGGCAATACTGGGGGTGGGCTTTGAGGTTTCAAAAGCCGATGCCAGGCCCAGTGTTTTTCTCCACCTCCAACTTGTGACTCAGAGTGTAAGCTCTCAGCTACTGCCCCAGCACCATGTCTGCCTGTCTGCTGCCGTGCTCCCTGCTATAATGGTCATGAACTCACCCTCTGAAACTCTAAGCAGGCCCCCAGTTAATAGGCTTCCTTTTATGGGTTGCCTGGATCATGGTGCCTCTTCACAGACTAGAACAGTAACTAAGTAACTCATCAAATCTGCTAGGGCTGTCTAGCCTCTACAAGGTAGAGCCATTATGATCAAAAGACACACAGAAATGTGTATACACAGAAATAGAAGGAGGCGGGATCTGCTGTGACCACTTCCTGGAAGAATTCACAAGCCCTTTACCTTATTTCTCATGGCTCGGAGGAGATCTCTGACAGAGCCACCTTTGTAGGTTCTGAATTTGCGCAGATCTAGAAAAACAGTAAAGGATTTATAATGGTTAAGCAAGTCAACTTTTAAGAGAATTCCTGGGGTCTTGCAATTGGACTAAAGTGATATATCAATTCTCAGTCATGACAAAAGATGCTTTTTGGACCTAAAGATGGGTTCATCTGAAGTTATCCAGACCAGTAATGGCCTCTTTGAGCACAACAATATCACTTACCTATCACCCTTAGGGGACAGACTAAAATGTACACCCCTATAACAAAGCCCACAGAGACATGCTCAAATAAGTCTCAAACCCCAGAAGGAGAATGTAGAGCTCCAACAGCTTTAGCTGCCTTGTCTACATCAAGTTCTCAGAAACAGCTGCAGCTTTTAAAAATGTCTCCTCCTGCCTTTAGCACGGTCACCTGTCTGTAGTGGGACAGTGATGTTCTCCCGCCAGTCCATCTTCACCACAGCTCTCCCTCCTCTCTCCAACTGCTTTACTATCGGGCCGTCCAAGGACTCCTTTTCTATACGGTCACTCACATCCTGTGATGGAAAACAGGCAACAGATTTGGGTCAGGGTTAGGAGTTTGTCCACACTAAGTTACAGAGCAGCCGCTGGCTGTGAACTGTAAACAAACTGAACCTCCCTGCAGGCCCAGGCTTCGGCCTCCTCAGCAGCAGGCAGCAGGCATCTGCTTCTGATCCACTGACTTCCCTGTGAGCATACATGTCTGTCACTCACTAGAACAAACTTGCAGAGATCGCCTCTATGATAAAGAGAGATGTCACAGAGGTGTGCCGAGCATACACCCACCCCTGGAAGTTCACACGCACACAAAACACTCTTACACAGCGCTACAGGTACGAGACACATTGTCCAGGTTGCAAAAACATAAAGGGGAAAGCCAAACTCCTTCTGGGCTTCAGATATCCCTGAAACAGGACATCTTAATGTCTAACCAGGTCGTAATTCCTCACCTGAGCACTGGAAAAGCTATGAAGCAGAGCCCTTTTTCTTTTCTGTTTTTGTTGACAGGGTTTCTCTGTGTAGCCTTGGCTGTCCTGGACTCACTTTGTAGACCAGGCTGGCTGCCTACAAATTTACAGAGATCCACATGTCTCTGTCTCCCGGAATGCTGGGATTACAGGCGTGTGCCACCTCGCTGGCTCAGAGCCCTGTTTTCAAGGAGCACTGGGCGGTAGGTGTGGGATCTGTGGGCCCTGCTGTGCTTCAAGTACTATAAGACAGAAGAAGGGGGTCAAGGAGAGGGTACCCTAAGTACTAGCCTTTCAGAGCCCCTGCCAATAAGATTAGATAAGAAACGGGGGATGATGAGTCCACACATCAATATTGAGCCCTTGAAGATATTTCTTTGATAAAGACAAGAGTGGATAATTTTTTCTTTGTCGTCACTTTTTTTTAAGATTTATTTATTTATTCCCCCCCCCCCCACCTCTCCTAATGCTGGGATTACAGGTGTGTGCCACCATGCATGACTTATTTAGTTATTTTACATTAATGAATGCTCTATCTGCATGTACACTTGCATGCCAGAAGAGGGCACCAGATCCCAATATAGAGCCACCACTTGGTTGCTGGGACTTGAACTCAGGACCTCTGGAAGAGTAGACAGTGCTCTTAACCGGTGAGCCATTTCTTCAGTTCCCTTTTTCTTTTTTTCTTTTTTTCTTTTCCCCTGAGATAGGGTTTGATGTAGACCAGGCTGGCCTTGAACTTGCTACTTGAACTTGCAGAAAATTACTTTGAATCCATGATCCTTTGCTTCTGCCTCTGGAGTGTGAAATTACAGGTGATACTATCATGTAAGCTATCATGACCAGTGCACTGGCTGAATTCCTAACTTGAACTTCTAGGGGAAAAGCCTTGGAGAAAAGCCACCAAGCTTCATAATCTGAATTTTATCCCCGAACTCAGGTGACGGAAGGAGATAACTGATTCCCACAAGAGTTCTCTGAGCTACACACACACACACACACACACACTTCAGAGTTGTAAAGTAACTACTTTACATACAGCTAGCTGACAAAAACAAAAAGCAGCTGTGTTTGCCACATATACAACTTGGATACGCGAACTCAGTTTCACGTAGGGTTAGGGTCTTCATATGTAAGTTCTATTTTGGTTGTCTATTTTGTCAGGTGACTTAGACTTGAGAATTTCCATGTTACACTGTGTAGCACACAGTGACCAATCATGTTGCTCCCTCACCCATTGCTGCCCTGGAAAAAGATACTGGACCCTTCACCCCAAAGACATTTGAATGACTACTACGCACCAGCAATGGGCCAGGCAGTGTCCTAGGTGCTGGGGCCAGAGCAGTCATCAAAATCATCGAGAAAGTCCCGCCTTCAAGGAGCAGATGTGCTAGGGCATCTCTGAAGCCAAGGCCTCTGTCAAACTCCTGACAATGTGAGAGTCCATTCTAAGCTAGGGTGCTCTCCCAGACGAAATCCTGCTGTCCCCCCACTGCTCTTCACAGCAGAGGACACACTGTGTTTCCTCATCTCATGCCACCTAACACCCACAAACAGTCTTTACAGAGCTATTCGGTTATGTCACAAAACCACAGGGCTGTCAGTTGCTACAGAAGTTCACAGTCACTGATCTTAAATTTTAGCTCCGAAACAACATGGGATCTGAGTAAAGGGCAACAGAAAAAAAACTTCTTAAGGAGATGTTTGAATTTATGACACTGAATGAAATTGTATGGTATCTAGGATTTGCTTCAAAATAATCTAGGGTTGGGGCTAGAGAGATAGCTCAATGGTTAAGAGCACTTCATGCTGTCGTCGGGGACCGAGTTTTGTTTCCAGCGCCGTGTGGCAGCCCACAGCTGCCTGTAACTGCAGTCCCAGGAGGTACTCTGTGCTCTGTGGGTGCCGGGCAAGTACGTGCTGTACATACAAGCATGTAGTAAACACTCATACATAAGGAGGAAATCTTTAAAAAGCAATCTGGGGTGTGGAAGAACACAGGATAAATACTTGCTAAAACTGGAGGATGGCTAAGAGGGGCTCTCTGCAGGGTTTAGTCTACTTTTGTGTCTATCAGGGATCCCCACATATAAAGTTTAACAATTAGGGCACAGTTGGGGGCTGCAGAGATGGCTCAGTAGTTAAGAGCACTTCCTACTCTCACAGAATACCTGGGTTTGGTTCCAAGCACCCACACTGTGTCTTACAACTGTCTGTAACTCCAGTTCCAAGGGATCTGACACCCTCTTCTGAACTTCACAGACACCAGGCACATATGTGGTGCACAGACACACATACACGCAAAACATTCATATATATAAAATATCTAAAAAATCTAATTTTTTAGAGAAATAAAAAATGGGTACATTAATATGATAGAATGCTATATTCATTATAATTATATGTATTTTTTAAAAGCAGAATATAACATTGTATATATAGCTTAATCCCAATTATACTATTATTATATGAAAACATTTAAAATGTGACTATTAATTTTAGTCACCTAAAATTAACTGGGAGGGCAGTTCCAGGAAGAATTGGCCTAGAGCAAAGGTCCTTCTCCAGCACGGGCAGCACCCTCTGACAGGTGGGCTGATTTAGAGAAGTCTGCAGTGTGCCAGGCTGGCCTTTGCTTCTTGCTGGTAAGAATGCCTATCCCATTCTGTCACTACTGCCATCCTTCACTGCCACCAGAACCCAGCTTCTTCAGCCTTCCACTGTGGGCTAAGACCAGGAGCTCTCTGGGAAATCTTCTAGGTCTAAAGTATAGACTGACTGCTGAAGCAACCCAGTTTTGCGGCCTGAGAAGCTATGGGCTTCTCAGTTTCTCTAGTGTGCCGATTGCCACTGCTGGCTTGACAGCCTGTATGTATGAGCCATTCTAGTTCATCTCCTTTACAGCACACATACAGAGTTTATGAACATAAATGCTAATCACGTTTGTCTTGGTTGTAGGCTACAGGTCATCTGTTTTGCTCTTTGTTCTTTCAATCTTTTCAGAATCTGGAAGACAGATTTTGGTGGAGAAACAGACCCAGGTACCTGGAAGAACTGGAGCTGCTTTTCCAGGCTCCAGAAGAAGGGGTGTTTCAGCACGTGCTTTGCGGAGGGCCGCTGCTGGGGATCCATTGCAATCATTCTTTCTATCAATTCACGAGCAATGACATCCTCTAAAGAGGAAAATGAACAACCCATTATTTCCAAACTATAACCAAAGGGAACATCAGAAACCTTAAAAGTCTGTTTTGCCCACATTTGTGTGTATCTGTTGTATGTGTGTACATGTTTGTGTGTGTGCATGCATGCAGAGGTCAGAGGATTATGTCAAATGTCGTCCTTAGTTGCTTTCCACCTCTGTTTTCTGAGATAAGAGTCTGTCACTGAACTTGGGATTCACAATTCAGCTAGACTGGCTGCCCAGCATGCCCCAAGGATCCTTCTGTCTCTGCCTCTCTAGTACTGAGTTACAGGTTCAAGACACCAGGCTTGCCCCCCCGCCCCTTAACCTGGGTATTAAGGGTCCAGCCTCAAGTCCTCATGTTTTGAGGTGAACACTTTAGCAAGTGAGCCATCTCCCAAGTCCCTGCATGCCCTTTGATACAAGATCTGCTATAGGAATGGATTCTAATAAAACAATGACAGACCTTCGCCATGTGGTTTGTGAAAAGTAGTGAATAAATATCCAAAAGCAGAGGCTTACGTCCTATGTGATGAATTGCTAACATGACTAAATATAGATGGATTTAGAAAGACACTCAAGGTAAAGCACGGTGGGCTGGTAATACCAGTACTCAGGAAGCTGAGGCAGAAGACCATGATTTTGAGACTGGTCTGAGCTACATAGGAAGACTTAAACTAGCCTGGGCTACACAAAGAGATCCTGACTCATTAAACAAACAAACAAACAAACAAAAAACCCAAAAGGATGAAGTTGAAAAACAAGCCTGCTGCAAACGCATGATTTAATCCCTATCCCCACTTCCACCAGCAGCCTATCAGCTCAGGCTCACCTGGAACCCTGAGAATCCTAGCCTGGTCTCCTGCTTCAGTGTCCTAATGGCTAGATTACAGGTATATCCCACCCCCACCCCTAGCCTCAGCCCCACCTCTTTTTCTTTCTTTTTTTATATTTACATAGTTGTGTACAGGGGAGGGCATGTATGTGTGACACAGCACATGTGTGGAGGTCAGAGGACAACTTATAAAAAGTTAGTTCTCTCCTTCTACCATGTGGGTGGGTACCACGGATTGAGCTCTGGTCATCAGGCTTGCAGGCAAGTGCCTTTAATCACGAGCCATCTTGCCAACCCTTAACCCCATCTTTTTGTTGTTGTATAGTCTTGGCTGTCCTGGAACTCACTATGTAGACCAGGCTGGCCTCAAATTTATAGAGCTTCTCCAGCTCTGTGCTCAGATTAAAGGTGTGTGTCACCATTCCTACATCCATTTTTATAAAAGTATACATATCTAGATAAGCAATTAGAGTAATGTATACAAAGAAGCAGATATCCATCCCCGTATAAAGAAAATATGGGTCTTTATGTTAATATGTTTTTCTACAATGAATAAGGAAAAAACCTCATAAGCAAAGCAATTATTTTGTTTTAATCTTTTCACACAGCAGCACTGGGGTGCTGTGATTTAACATAATCTAGCAAACTCCCTAGTCAGGAAGAAGTATGTGTTACATGCAAGTCAGCAGGGCAAGGACAGAGTCTGACCATCCCTGCTGGGTACAGACTGTCTTGTAACTGTGGATCCCACACAACAGAATCCAATTTCCAGAGCACAAAGAGCGGTCTCCAGAGGGTGTCTGGCCCAAGTTACCACCTCAGTACTCCAAGGATGATCTTAGCCAGCCTCTGCCAGCTCTGTATGTATTAGCATTTCCTAAGGCTGCTGAGATAGGCAGTATAGTGGAAGGTGTTACCACACAGACCACCTGCTCACCGTGTTTGTCTGAGTGGAAGCAGTCAAGGCTGCAGGCGCCCAAAAGGATGTTGGCCTGCCGCTGCAAGGACTTGCCAAAAGGATGGTTGCCCTCAGAGATGACATAGTAAAAGACACAGCCTGCAGAGAAGATGTCCACTGTGTAGGTCTGAAAGAAATGCAGAGTGGGAGGTCTCAGACAGCCATTACTTTACTCACACACCTGACTTCACTTCAGCCCCCTTCTGAAAGATATCTGATAAGTGAAAGATAAATGTGAATTGCCTAGAACAGCCAGGGACACCCTGTAGTGTTGCCATAGTGTCCTGACTGATGTCAAGGTCATAGGCTTTCAGGCTGACAGCCTGGGATGCTGGCTCTGCCAGGTGCTCCATCACTGACAATCCGCCATCACACTCATCCTTGACAGTGACTCGTAATCTATTCTTGCCTGAAACATTTCTCTTGAATCTATACAGCTGTTTTATTTTGTTTTTTCAAGATAGGGTTTCTCACCAGGCTGGCCTTGAACTCAGAGATCTACCTGCCTCTTTCTCTTGGATCTAATCAAGCCTCTAGACTTAACTTTTAGCTTACAGAGAGAATAAAAGAACAGAGAGAACTATGAAGCAATGCCATAAAGAAACAAGCAAGCAGCCTAGAACGGGGCATTCAAGGACTTCTCAAGAGTAAGCATCAGAGAACAAAACAGGTAGGGAAGCTGCTGGGGGCCTGCTGAGGAATGTGAACACGGATTAGGTATTAGGAACAGGCTGGGAAGAGTGCTGACTGTTCAGATCTGATGAGATGGTGGGAGAAGGCATTGTTATTAGAAACAAGTGCTGCTGCATCTAGGGGTGAAGGGCGGAGACGCCTGCTCCTTACATTTAAATGGTCCAGTCACAGGTAAACACAGGAAGACAGAGCAAACCTACATTATGTAGTAACAGTGACTCTGGGTGGCCCTAACAATCCTTCAATTTTATGTATGTCAACAGATTCTTAAAACAAAGGTATGGAGAAACAAAGCAAACTTAAATGAAAATTGAAGGTCTGCTTATCTTAGGCAAAACCTGACTCTCCAGGTTCCCAAAGGAAAGGGGGTAAAAAGCGACTGGGAGGGTTGGGAAAATGACAATGGTTCATATCTGTCTTTCTCATTTATCTATCAGAACGTGAAACTACGTGGAAAGTTCACAGAGCAGCTCTTTGTTAAAGAGATGCCATTTGCAGCCACATGTCCCTGGCCCCAGATCTTGAAACACATTGCTGTGGTTGTCTTTAAAATAGTCCCATTTACTTACAGGGTTCTCTTTGCAGTCTTCACTCAGCATCTCTGGGGCAATCCAGCCTTCAGTGCCAGGTACCCCCGAACGACGGCTGAAACTGTGCCTGCCTACTGCCAGCTTCTTGCAGAGGCCAAAGTCAGAAATCATGGCCTTGATCCTGCCATGTGCGTTGGGCATGGAGAGGAGAATGTTGTGGGGTTTCAGGTCTCTGTGAACTAGTAGAGAACTCCAAATTCATCCAACACTTACCACAAGTGACCCCAGCTTCCTTCAAGGGGTTGTGGGTCCTTGTCAGACTCCTAAATACCTGCTATGAGCTACAAAATAATCATTTTCAATTACCTAAGGTTCTCCCTCACACTCTTACACACCCTGTCAAAAGACCACTTAAATCCCCCTTTCCCCTATGCAGACCAGGTAGTTGGCCCCACCTGGGCCTTTAGCCTGGAAAAGGAAATCCTCTTACCAATGTTGAGAGAGTGCAGGTGTGCCAGGCCTGAGGCGGTCTGCTGGAGCAAGGTGATAGGCTCTAGACCAAGGTGGGCAAAGTCCTTCTGCTCCACATACTGTAAGAGACACAGCACAAGTAGAAGAAAGGGAGCCAGAGATCTGCCAGCCACAACCCACCTGCCCAGGAATGCTGAGCGGACCTCTCCATTAAAAACTGGGGTGATGAAAATGCTATGCATTTGTGGCTGGTGCTTGAGTGGACACCAAACTGTATACTTAAGTTGAGCAGAAGTAACGTTTGTAACTGCACTGTAACTTCAATAAAGTTAATAAAGCAAAGTTTAAAAAATAGCAAATAGATACTTCCTGAACACATGCCACTGGGTAGGAGAGGGGGCTGCAGTGGCTGTGCCAAAGCTGTCACTGACCCTGTCACTGTCACTAGAAAGGCCAGCCAGACCTACCTCTTGCAGGGTGGCTGCACACAACTCAATGGCAATGTAGTGGAACTGCCGGTCCTTCTCTGTGCAAAAGTAGCGGATGACATTCGGGTGCTCATCTGATTCTCGAAGCAGCTGGACCTCACGGTCTGCAAAGCTGAAACATTCAGGAAGGATCCTCTTCACAGCCACATCACGGTTGTCAAACATGCCTCTGTGGGACAGGAAGTAGTAGCAGAGTTTGCTTAGTGCACACTGGGCTGTAGACATGAGCTCAGCTCTGTAAGATGCAATGTTCCCTTCTTCCAGTATCAGCCACCTCAGCTTCAAGGCCCATAGACCCTGGCCAACCTCCATCAGTCCATAGTTATCACTTCTCTTTTAGTGTCTACCTTTAAGTCAATTTGACACAAACTAGAGTAATTTAGGAAGATGAATTCTCAACTGAGAAAACACCTCCATAAGATTTGCCTATAGGCAATTCTGTACTACATTTTTCAAATTGGTGATTGATGGGGGGAGGCGTAGCCCATTTTGAGTGGTACCACCCCTGGGAAGGCGGTCCTGGATCTAAAAGAGGCAGGCTAAAAAGCAATGAATAGCAAGCCAGTAAGAAGTACTTCTCAGCGGCTTCTACTTCAGTTCCTGCCTTGGGTTCTTGTCCTGACTTCAATTGCCTGTGATGTGGAAGTGTAAGTAAAATAAAGCCCCTTCCTCCCCAAGTTGCTTTCGGTCATGGTATTTTTATCATAGCAACAGAAACTCTTATCACAGTGTGGGAGCTCACTAGAGGCAAGGCTCATCTGCCTTGATCGTCACTTTGACCCTGCTATGCCCCAGGAACCTGGCACTTAAAACTTCAATCTGGCATGCACTCTCACAGCTGGGGGACTGGGTCCCACCACTCACTTGTATACAATTGTGCCCTCAGCTCCATGGCCCAGGACATCCTTGGGGCAGAATGAAATTTTTCCAACAATCACCACTCTGGTTTCTTCATCTGGGACAAAACAGGAAGAAGAGGTCATTTTAAAAAGACACCACCGAAGAACTTTGAGGGTGAAAGGGCTTCCTGATTTCTCAGTATGACTTGGGATTTAAGAGGGTCTATATCCCAGATTCCTGGTGGAAAAGAGCGAGGCCCATTGCTCATTTATGCTCAGGGACACTGCCTCCTCCCCAGAATTCTGTCCCCTGCTCTTACAACATTCTTTTCTTCTGCCTTTACATTATCTTATTTGAGAAAGTCTTTAACTTTCCCAAAGAAAAGAATGCTCTGTGGAGTCTCATGTTTAGTTAACAAAATTTAGGTGAACACCACCAAAAAAAAACAAAAACAAAAACAAAAAACAAAGAAGGTCTACCTCAGAGATCCATCTCTAGAACATTTCAGTGTGCTGGAACAGGTAAAATAAAGAGGCTGCTTAGAACTAGGGGCTCTATAGCGCAATCTCTGTAGCAATCCTCCAAGATGTGGGGCCTGACAACCGGTTAAGCCCACTCCCCACAAGGAAAGTGGGTCACTTTTTGAATGTGGCCAGTGGCTAGTCTCAGGAATTCACTTAAGCCAGATGGGAAACTTCCCTCTGGTCAACAGCAGTAGATGCCATAGCCCAGCAGATTAAAGATGAAGAAGAGCTAGAACAGGATACCATGAAAGGGCAGAAGCCCCTATCCCACAAACCTATAAGTGGGAAGAAACTAGGATAGAACATGCTGAGCCCTCAGGAGTGAGTCTTGGAAGGTGTTTCAGGTGATGTTCAAAGACACAGTGGGAACTGTCTTTACCCTCATCATCCAGCTCCAGGGAGGGGCTGGTGGCAGCCTTGGAGGCAGAGCTGCTGGAGTGGTTGGAGGCTCTGGGGGATGGGCTGGGGCTGCTGGTGCCTGAGCTCTCTGAGAAGAGGCCAGATGAATCCAGGAACTCAGGATCCTGGGTAAGGTCTCCATGTGAGTGGAAGGGGAGCTGCTGTTGCTGCAGGAGCTGAATTCTCTCCAGTTCTTTTTGGAACTGTTGGTGCTGGAGCTGCTGATGTATGCTCTGTGAAGAGAAATACACATCCAGGCTAGCGTAGCTGGGAAACAAGTCACAGGGAGAGGTGTTCCCTGAGGCCAATGAGGCAGGCAAACTTCATTTGAACCCCGCGAGGCACAAGGCCAGAGAGAAGCCACATGGAGACAGAAGTAAGATTCAGTAATCTTACTCCGAAGAGCCCACAGTCTAAGCCTGGAGGGGGCTGGTGAGACTGAGTGGTAACCAGGAGGAGCACCTGAAGGGATCCTGCACTAGAAAGAGGGCTAAACCAAGGGGGAAGTTCCCATTTAATCTTAGAAATTAGTGACTTTTAAGGACACCTGGGAGTGTTGTCAAAGTGAAACCAAATAGAAACAATGGTTAGAGGTACATAGGGGCCTAGTGGGTAGGGGGAAAGCTCTGGTCCACAACTGTGCCTGAACAGAGGTTAGAACAGGGGGGCCTGAAGTCTAGAAGGCAGCTGGAGGCTGTGGTCCAGAATGAGGCAGTGTGGGGTTGAACTACGATGCCTGGCTAAGGTTCTGCTCCATTGTGCTGCCACCCAGCACCCTCTTCTCCAGTACTCAGAAGACTTTGCTCCAGCATCATGAGCCACATCAGTGGTCTGTAATTACTCTTGCCTGGGCATGGGAGGTGGACTAAAGGGGAACTTTCCAGCTTTTTTTGAATCCAGGGTCAAAGTTCTGGGTGTGCCACCTACTAGCCAAGTACCTCAGGAAGTCATGTGGCCTCCCTAAACCTCCTACTGCGGACAAAGAATAAATAATAATAATAAATAGACCTTATAGACTGTGTGAGGTTAAAAAGACTAGGTAACGGTCTTTTGTCCACAGAAAGCAAAGCATGTAGTCTGTCTTCCCTACTTGATGGGGACAAGAGCTGCCTGTGTGCTGGTGTTCTGAAGAGACAACTCCACAGGCTTGAACAACTTGCTGAAGGGACTACTGTCTGCTCACATACAACATCATTGTTTTGAATCATACACAACTAGAAAGTGAAAGGAATTAGCAGCTCACCCTTTACACTTTAGTTGATCTCATAGGTAGTGTATGAAGAAGCAGATTTTCATCTGCTGGCCTTCCTTTTAAAAAACAAGTACAATTAACTATTTAAAATGATCATAGGCAGGGTTAGACATCAACCTTTATACCCTTTTTTGAAAAACAGTAAGATTTAGTTATAAAACTGTCCTTTTATAAGAAGCTAGGGATGTTTTTGAAAATAAGCAAATTTTTTTTTTCCTTTTTTCTTTTCTTTCTTTTTTAAGACTGAGTCTCACTACATAGCCCCTTGCTGGTTTTGAACTTGCTATGTAGACCAGCCTATCCTCAAACTTCAAGTGCTACAATTAAAGGCATACAACACCATACCTGGCTTAAATAGTGACTTTTAAATATGAAACATATTGGCTGCTTTCATATGGCTCTCACTGACATCCAGTACTTGACAGAGAGGTATCAGAACATGGAGGACAATGAGAAAGGTCAAACCTTACCAGTGGGTAAGTGATGATGAAGGCCACCCATCCAATCAGCAGGAAGGTGCTCAGGATAATAGTAGCCATGTCCTTGAGCATGGAGTCCACAGGGGCCTCAGGCTTGGCAGGGGCACGGGACAGCTTTTCTTCTATATCCTGAGACATGGTGGTTGGTATGTTTTCTGAAGTCTGGCCAACTAGGTTGATAACCTTGTATAAAAGAGATTTGGTAAATGTCTAGCCAGATATAGATGAAGTTAGCACCCAAGAGAAGCCATGTCTACTTAAAATGTAGGACTAAACTCAAATATTTTTTTTTTCTAGTTCATCAAAAGTCTGGTAGACTTTTGCTACTGTTGCTTCTTTCTAAGTAATTGCTGTAACAAACCATAAATTCTGCAGTGATATTGTCATTGTTCACAGAGATTTCAGAACAATATATTTGGAAATACCTTTAGACCCTGACATTCTTTTTTTCTTTTTTCAAGACAGAGTTTCTCTATGTAGCCTTAGCTATCCTGGACTTTGTAGACCAGGACGACCTGGAACTCACAGAGATCCATCTGCCTCTGCCTCCCTAAGTGCTGGGATTACAGACCACTGTGCCCGGCTCTTTTAAAATTTTCAGTGATAAATTTCAATGATAAATTAACAACTTCTAATAGTAGATTTGCTATTTAAGGGAAACTGTAAAATCACCTAAGTCAACTGTAGAGAAAAGTCTAGTGAAAAGTTGGCCATCAATTTGATATCTTTTCACATTGAAAAATTAGGCTAGCTGGGGCATGCAGAAGATCGTAGGTTTAATCCCCACACGACCGACCGACCGACCGACCGACCGACCGACCGACCGACCAACCAACCAACCAACCAACCAAACCACAAAAACAAATAAGGCTCTTTAAGAATGAAGATCTGAGTTCGAATCCCAGGAACCCACAAACAAAGCCAGGGAGAAGAGTATGTGCACCTATAACCCCATCGGTGGGGTGAGGTGGAGGCAGGGGAATCACTGGAACTTGGTCATCAGTTTAGCTCTAGATTTAGTGAAAGATTCTGCCTTTCACTGGGAATAAGGTGGCGGGAGCAGAACATCTAACATCTTCTAGCCTCCTTACATTCACCATGCCCCCATGTTGACACACATACACACACACATACACACGCACGCCAAAAAACCAAGAAGGCTGTACGTATGTATGTAGTGCAGGCATGTACCTAATATATCTAACAAAGCAGTGAAGCCACTTCCTTAGGTTGTTTTAAATTTTCAGGAATTCCCAAACTAAAATAATTTATTCAAGAGTTCTATTAGTTTTCCAAAGTTACAGAAATGTATCAGATGCCTTTATTAAATAAATGCTTATGATAAATAAATAAATAAGTGGAATTCTTATAGATGCTCCAAATTAAATCAGATAATCATGTAGCTTCCTCCGGGACAGTTTAGAAGACACACAGATCTGTGTTCAACTCAGCTAGTGTTCCCTGTGTGTCCACCAACACTAACACACAGCTTCCTGGCCTTGCACACTAGGTTTTCCACATGCTTACATCACTACACGTTCTCCTTTAAGACATCAGCCTTTGGTGCCTTCTCTCCCTTCCAGCTGCTATCGGAGTGCATCCAGGTACAAACCTCTTTTAAAGGTTCATGCCTCCTTTATAGTGCATCCCACAGTGCATGGGGAGAATGGCTTGTTTCGTACATAGCATGTGGCTGAGAAATGTGTGCTGAGCATATGACAAGGAGAACATTTATTTTAATTATATTAACTGTTCAGTATATTAACTGTGCTTAAAAAGACAGCTGTGGGGCTGGAGAGATGGCTCAGTGGTTGAATTCAGGTACTGTTGTTGCAGAGAATCTGAGTTTGGTTTCTATCACCCACGTCAGGCAGCTTACAACTACCCGTGACTCCAGCTTCTGGCCTTTGCAACCTGACAATCTGAGTTTGACCTCTGGGTAAAAGGAAAAAAACAATTTCTGCAAGTTGCCCTTACTTTCACACCTGTACCATGGCACATATGTGTGTACACACACGTACACCTACACAAACACACACCACCACCATCATCATCATCAATTAAAAAAAAGAACATTTTTAAAGACCTCCTTGCTCAATATCAGATGGTTAAATATAAAATTTTGGATCATGGCCACTTCTGGGTATTAGATTAATTGTATTCTCTTATTTTCTTCTTTATACTTTTGTAAGTATGCAATATTTAATAGGATCTTAGGCTGAGAATATAGCTCAGTGTAGGGCTCTTGCCTAGCATACATAATGCGTTCGGTTCAATTTCCAGCATTGAACAAGTCAAATAAATGGAATTGATTACTTTGAGCTGGGCACAGTGGCACATGCCTGTCATCAAAGCACTCAGAGGCAGAGGCAGGCAGATCTCTAAGTTCAAGGTCAGCCTGATCTACAAATTGAGCCCAGGATAGCCAAGGCTACACACAGAAACCCTGTCTCAGAAAACCAACCAACCAACCAACCAACCAACCAAGTTTCTCAAGTGATTTGTTAGACCACAGACCGCCCCTGGCAGTAGCTCTTGTTCTTCAAACTCTCCCCCAGTCTAGGCCACTTCTCTATTACCACTCTCCACTTAGTGGGGCTGCAGGAGTCCAGGCCTGAAGAGCTAGCTCACTAAGGCCTTCAGAAACCTCCAAGTCCACTTTGTTGGTCATGCAGGCCAGGAAAAAAAATACCCCTAACCCTCTGTACCTGATCAGGAACAGCCAATAAAGTACCAGCAGATGGAGGTAAAATAACAAGTTTGAGCACCTGGGAGCTTTTGACTCAAGTTCCAAGCTTCTTCTCAGAGTCTCTTTCCACTCTGTCCTCTCTTCAGGACAAGGCATGCTTTGAGGACACCATCTGTGTGAACAGTTCCAGTACACAGTTCCCTCATGCTCCCCCAACAGGGCAGACCAGCTGAGGCCCTGATCTAGTCCATTAATACCTGTTAGGAAAAGCCAAAGCCATGAGTTCACGTCCCCACTTACTTCCTCAAAGCTCCTTTTTTCTGAATCAGCTGGAATCACATTTTCTCGATGTTTGGGCAGGTTGTTGGGAAACCTCTCCAGCATCTTAGTAGATGCGGACAGAGGAGTTTCATGGTGTCCTATAAGAGGAAACAAACTTTTAAACAGATTCTAGGCAGTGGTGGATCCCAATACAAAATTTCAGTAACTCTCTACCTGCTGAGGGAATCTTTTCTACAAGGCGATCCCTTATCTATATGGCAAGAAAAGGGAAAGGCAGCCACTGGAGAGTTAGCATGAAAACAAATTCCCCCACCCCACCCCAAGACAGGGTTTCTCAGTGTTTAACTGCCCTGGCTGCCCTGGAACTCCCTTTATAGACTAGGCTGGCCTCAAACTTACAGAGATCCATCTGCCTCTGCCTGCCAAGATCTGGAATAAAGGTGTGTGCCACCACTGCCAGGCTCAGAAACAGAAATTTTATAGTATGTGATAGCACTCACTTTTAATCCCAGCTCTTGGAAGGCAGTGGAAGGTGTATCTCTGTGCATTTAAGACTAGCCTGGTCTACATAGTAAGTTCCAGGCCAGCCAGAGCTAAACAGTAAAGCCTTTCTCCAAACAAACACCTAAAAAACACTCCCCACCCCCAATAGAAACTTTAGGACTGAAGAGATGGTCAGTCAGTAAAGTACTTGTGAAAGCAAGAGGACCCAAATTTGATCTCCAGAGCCCATGTAGAAAAGTTGGCAACATATGTAATCCAGTGGGGGATGGAGACAAATTGATCCCTGGAGCTTGCTGCCTAGGTAGCCTAACTTAATCAGTGAATTCCAGGCCAATGAAAGAGTCCGCCTTAAAAAGTAAGGTGGATAGGGCCAAAGGAATGACACATGAAGTTGTCCTCTAGTCTCCATAAGGATATGTGCACACATGTGAAATACAAATTTTAAAATAAAACAAGTTGTATCAGTTGATGGCAGAATACAGTCTTCTGCTTCTTTTTGAATGATTTACTTTTATTATTAATTACATGCATGTGTGTGGGTAAGTGCAGTACCCAAGGACAGGCGACAGAGTCTCCGGGAGTTGGGATCACATGTGGTTGTGAGTCATTTGACATGGGTGCTGGGAACCAAACTTAGGCCCTAGGCAAGAGCAGTGAGTGCTCTTAACCACTGAGCCACCTCTCCCGCCCAATATTCTGTTGCTTTTGCAAATTAAAAAAAAAAAAAAAACAGAACAAAACACACCTCTGTCCTTGTCATGGGAGGTATCAAGGATGTTTGGGATATGCTGTAAAGCAAGGCTTGTATGGGCGCATGTGCTCAACTCAGGAAGCAGTGTGATGCTGCATTCATGTTTAAGAATTTCTTTCTCTGCTTTTTCTAGCACCATCGGTCTGTAAGGCTACCAAGCTCCCTTCTGCGCATTTCAGCTGCTCAGGCAAAGCTCTGCTCCTCCTCCTAGCTACAGCTGAGCTTCCACCTAAAGGAGTGGTGAGTAACTGCGAAAGAACTACAGGAACTAAGAGGACAGGATGGGTGCAGACTGATGGGCACTCACTTGCTCACTGCTCTGTACGGACAACTTCATGACTACCTAGCATTCAGCACACCTCAACTCCACCCCTACTGTGTGCAATAAACGAAACAAAGTAACTACAACAAACAACTGGAGTTGCATATCACTGAGCTTGAAAATATGTTCAGTTTTAAAATCAAATGGTTTTATCATAGGCTCGAAAAGCCCCATCAGTTTTCCTTTCTGTTCTCTCATTGGGATCAGCTCTTTGCTTGATTCAGGCTTTTCATTTCATACTCTTTTTTTTTTCTTCTTTGTGGCTGTATGTATAGATCACAGGTCATCAGGTATCTTCTTCAATTACTTCTCTACCTTACTATTATTTAAAAACTTTTTTTTTTTTTTTTAAGAGACAAGGTCTCTCACTGAAACTGGAGCAAAATATTTCAACTAGATGGGCTGGCCAGTGAATCCTGGGATCCTCCCATCTCTGCCTTTCTATACTTTTTTGTTTGTTTCTCTGTGTAGCCCTGGCTATCGTGGGCTACACAGGTCATCCTCTGTAGAGCAGGCTGGCCTTGAACTCAGATATCTGCCTGCCTCTGTCTCCCGAGTGCTGCACCAGCACTGCCGGCTCACCTGGCTTTTTATAAGGGTTCACAGCCTCACAGAGGAAATACTTTGCCTACTGCCTCATTCATTTCCTCAGCTCCTAACCCACAATCTCTCTAATACTGTTTGAAACCTGTAAAGACTGTTTGCCATGTGTACCAAGGCAGAACTTGACAGGAACTAGACAAAGCTTGCATTTCTTGATCTCTTTACTCTCTCATCTGACCTCAATCTTTTCAGGTTGTTTCTACCTGAAAAGATGTGGTTCTTTAAGAGGAACTTACTTTTGTTCTGAACCATCACAAAGTTTCTCTTGTCTACCATGGCAGGCTGAGGCATGCTTTGCTTTACAAAAGGGTTTTCCCCCATGTGGCTGCCTATGTCAGAACTCTGAATCAGACTTGGTGGTGGGCCCAGGAATCTGCATGTGGGTAACCATAGGTCACAGAGGCCAACCAACAAGAGACCAATGGCCAGGAGAAATGAGGCTGTCCTTCTACAGGCTACCCTGGATTACAATGTCCTGTCTACTCTACCCCCTGATGCCCAGTCCTACTGCTGAGAGGTCTATGTATCTGTAAGGCCATCTACCAATAGACTGGTAGAGAAGTTACTGAGATTCCTTATAAACAAGCTCCCGCTGAGGAGGGACATTCAGTAATATCCCACTGTATACTTAGAACCAACCATTCTGAAAGCCTATCCTAAGGTTCTCAAATATTTTTATATAAATAGCACCCAATCTTTGTGAATTATCTGTCTTTGGGAAAACAGGCCCAGACACGGAAGCAAAAGGTGCAGGGCCAGCTTCTGTCTGGAACTCCTGCGCTGTGTCTCCAATGGCAGTTCACACCTCCGTGACAAAGCAGTGGGTGATCCTGAACACCAGGTCAAGGTTACTGTTGGGGATGGGAAACAGAGCAGCAACAGACCACACCTTTTGATTTATTAGATTCATTTTATCTTCAAAATGAGTGTGATGGTGGGGTATCTTACAGTCTTCCACAAGAACCAAAGGCCGGATTTTAACATTAACGGGTACAAGCAGTGGCCCTGGTTATGCATCCCCACTGCTTTATTTTAAGCTGACCAACTACAGAGTTCCCCAAAGGGGACCTCAGAATTGTGAGATCCTTACTTATCGACCTCTTGGAACTTTGTTAGCTTTCTTCGTTGTCTTACTTTGACACTTTAGAGGGATTTTAGAGGGATCTCATTTTCCAGTTCTGTCATGGAGGCTTCTTGTACATTTTAGTACTTTCATACACATTTCCTTTGTGTCACTTGTTAACCATTGCCAGGCAGTTTTTGGACCCTTAACTGGTGCCTAAAGCCAAGTAGCCTATGGCCCTGGTTTCCTCCTCAGTGAAGGGAAAGTATTGTGAGAGGGAGTGAAGAAGCCAAGCATAGTAGGGCATAGCTGTCAGCCTAGCGCTTGGGAAGCAGAGACTGAACGATTTGCGGGCAGCCTGAGCAACATAGTGAGATTCTGTCTCACAACAATATGAAACACACCAAAAAAATTAGACTGAGAAAAAAGAAACTCCCCTAGGACCACGCTGTGATGCCCCCCAAAACAGCTCAGACTCTTCACAGCTGTTGATTCTGGTTTCTCTTCAGGTTGCATACATCTTCTGTCTTTACTCCACAACTGTCAATTATCATGGGTCTTCAAACAGGACAGTCCAGCCTCTTACCCACGTTCATTCCTACTCCATATGAACAGCCTCGGTGTTTTTAGTTATAGAGCAGAAATAACAAGGGTACCCACCGCACTGTGAGGAACAGGAAACGGACATTTTGTGCCTTAAAATTACCCCAAGGCATTTGAAGCTTGAACATTATAGAAACCGTTTTTAGAGACCTGATTCGGTAACCTGGGAGTCTGTAACTCCTTGGAAACGAAACTATTTCCAGGTCTAAACAACCCTGAATCGGACAGAGCACACAATGCATTCAGAATCAAGAGCAGCACAAACCAGAAGGATGGGCTTCTGCCCACCAGGAGGCAGCAGTTACCACACAACAAAAGCAGCTCTTACCTATGAGAAGCCAGTAATTCCTTAAGTAGTTCAGCTTGCTCTTTCCTTTGAGTCCAGAGTCAAACTTGAGGTCTGTGCTGGGGGTGATCACGCATTCTCCTTTGTCTCCAATGGTGACACCATCTGTCTGGGGACCTTCCAGCAAAGGAAGAGTGCTGCCTCTGGGCTGTGGAGATGGGATCTGGTGAGCTGGAGGGCTTGCAGGACGTTTCCTTAAGTCCTGCAGCACATCCCCTCAACCACTGTCTACTCAACAATCAAAGCTTGACACAAAGGTCCTGGGACCAGGCAAGGGAAGCTCTACTGACACTATTTCAGATTTTTGTTTGAGATAGGCCTCAATCAGGCTGGACTTGAGCTCCATATCCTCCTGTCTCTTCCTCACAAGTGCTGGGATCACAGGCATGTACTATCATGTCTGGCCCTTTTCGGTTTCTTATGTTTAGGCACAGGAAGAACATGCATTATAGAACTCCAAGAAGCTATTATTAGAAATTATATGAAACTATATGGGACTATATGGAAGAGAATGAGGGGATATGTACTAGTTCCAGATGATGGAATTGATAGTGAGGAATAAACTCCAGACCCTGATGAGCTGACAGAGGCAGGAGTGGCCTCACTGCTTCAGCAGCCAACCAACTCAGCAGGCCGACAATACACAAACAAGCAGCCCAGACACTAGAGCAGGATTGTAATGTCCCAGACACTCAGTGAGAGTGCTCAAAGCAGGTTGGTGAAGAATAACGAGGTCACAAAGGGTGGAAGGGATTTAGCAGAGGAATGGCGCAACAGAGGCTCAGAAGGAAGACTTGGGAGTTTGGGGGGGATTATGGAGAAGATGTGTTTGTCTGGGTCATGCAACTCCCCCAAACTAGCAGAGTGGTAGGACTAGCTTGAAGAAAGCCTGAGGATTAGATCTGAATGCAACAGCCATGGGGAGTTAACAGCGCTTCCTGCTTTAAGAAGCTGCTCTGTCAACTATCCAGCTCTCAAAGTAAAATCTGGATATGCAGAAGCTGGTCATGATTCACTGAGCTCTGTATTTCCTTTCAATTAGATAGTTACATATAATTCAAGATCACTTTTTGCTAAAAAGGAACAAAAGCAGTCAAAAAAATTGTATTTTTAGGTCCCCAAAGTTGACTCACCACAACGGCAACCCCCTCATGCACCATTGAGGGAGAGGCATAGAGACTGGTGGAGTACTTCCCAACATACAGTGTAGGCCTGGGGATAAAACAGAAACATACATCCTGAAGTCATTTCATGTCCAAACTCCACACACAGCGGCCTCCAAGATAGCACACTCATTGACCCAAGTATCAGCCGCCACACACGGACCAGGCAACTCTCACAGGAAAAGGTGGCAGGGTACTATAGGGTGACAGGACAGTGGGATTTCAGGCCCCAGTTTTACCCATCACCTACGGAATGGGAAGCCTCACTTTCCTCACCTGAAAAATGCCAGGACTGGACTAGACTGAGTCCAGTCCAGCCTGAGGAAAGGGCTGTACTGATGACCAGCAGGAGATCGTGTACTCAGCACCCACTGCTGGCTTCGCAGGTGACCCTAACCAGCACCCTTTCAGAACCATCACCATGCTTTCTGAGGACTTCAAGGGCTCAGCAGAGGAACAAGGAACTGCTACAATGCAGATGCTGAGAGGAAAAGGAATGCACAAGCCAGGAGGCTTGGAATCCCAGTATAATAGCATGTTTGAGGCCAGTGTAGGCTCATGAGACCCTGTCTCAAATTAAAACAAACAAACAAACAAACAAAAAAACACACAAAAAAGAGGAGGAAAAAAAGAGAAACTCCAGTTCAAACTGAGTAATATTTCCTGGTAATCTGTTCCTACCCGAGACACCACAGAGGGCTGTCTTGTACCAGCATGGAAACAGTAAAAATTATACCTACAGACCCTACTATTACTACTATCAGGAGCCTTGGATCAGTTACCTTTGAAATTGTTCAAAATTATCCAACTTCTTTCAACAAATTACCTTCTACTAAATGGTGTCTCACTCTAGACAATAACACATATATGATCATATCTCAACTTCTCCACAAATCTATAAAGTAGGAAGACTGAGGCCCAGCCGGTTAAGTGACTTGACAGGCTTTTATCAGGTGGGTATGAAGAATACACGCCTGCTAAGTCTCGGTCACATACATTGTAATACTTTTTTTTTTCTGATTTTTAAGGTGAGTATGACATACAATATAAATTTAAAATATACATTTTTATGCTACAGTCTCCTACTCATATTTTATAGTCAATGTTCAAGAAGTCCAGGTGGGTAATCCCATCACTTAGGAGGATGAGGGGGAAAGATTCTTAAGTTTGAGGCCAGTCTGGGTTACATAATGAGACTTTCTCTCCAAATCCATAAACATAATACAGAACCAGAGAGAGAGAAACTGAAACATAAAGGGGCACCCCCCAAGGCTTGCATTCTGAGGTTCCTAAATGAGCATGCTTGGTGGGGGGGTGTTGTTTACTTGTTTGTTTTCAAGATAGGATTTCTCTGTGTAGCCCTGGATGTCATGGAACTCTCTGTAGACCAGGCTGACCTTGAACTCAAGAGATCCACCTGCTTCTGCCTCCCGGGTGCTGGGATTAAAGACATGTGCCACCACCCAGCTCCAAACAAGCCAGCATGGACTCTTAATGTTCTTTCTATGTGACCTCAGAGATGTCTGCCTGACTTCTTCCAGTATGGGGTACATTACACTGCAGCAGCTCTAGAATGCCAGTGTTATGGTTGTCCTTTGCTGCCTGATCTGCCCCAACTCCTCCAACTCACGTCAGCTTGCTCTTGGCCTCTGTCTCCTTGGGAAATGGATACTTCCACTTGGTGATTCGCCCCACTTCCCCAGACATGAAGGTCAAGTAGCGTAGAGTCTCCACAGCAACGTTGATGTGCACCACCTTTCTCAGGCCCTCCCGCTGCCAGACGTAGAAGGCCACCACAGGAGAGGCATAGTTTTGGATCCACAAGACATCCCCAGATTCACTGTCCACAGTTACCACCAGTCCATCGCCATTGGACACAAAGTGGGACATCTCTAAAGATCAAACAAAGCGTGTCAACCACATTCTGCAGCCATGTCCTCCCTTCTCTTGGCGAGCTGCAGTCATTTCATTCAAGAGGAGACTTCTGGACTATTCTCAGGTCAAAAGAGGTCACTGGTTTTCAGTAAACTCTTCAGTATCAAGACACTGAGAGACGCCTGGCTTATAAATGTAAAATAGGCTTACTTTCCCAACTTCCTTCCTTTTCTTTCTTTCTCTTTTTAACAACTATTCTATCCAATAAGATAGAGTAAATGCTGAAGGGTAAGGAGCCAGTGCAAGTGCCCATGAAGCTGAGATTTTATAGCAATCATGTAAAACCTGTGACTCAAACCGAGAGTCAGACCTGTGTGTATCTGACCCCACAAAAGGCACTCAGAGACAAAGTATGTGAGGTCCTGAGCCAAGACAAATAGTCAGTCTTTCAGATACCAGGGTTAAGATAATAAATTTAGGTTGCATGATTATCATCTGAGTTGTAGAATGTTAAAACTAGAGAAGTTATTAGAGTATGAACCACATTTAAATGTGGCCTTCTTTTTTTTTTACTGTGGTACTAGGGATTGGGCTCAGGGAATTATGTATGCTAGGCAAGATTTTTGTTGTTTTGTTTTTGAGACAGTCTCTCCATGTAGCTCTGGCTTCCCTGGAACTCACTATGTAGGCCAGGCTGGCCTTGAACTCACAGAGATCTGCCTGCCTCTGCCTTCTTGGTGCCAAGATTAAAGGCATGGCCCACTGTGCCCAGCCTGGCAAGATTTTTAAGATTTATTTATTTTATGAGTATGAGTTAGTACCACACATGTGTCTGGTATTTGTGGAGACTAGAAGAAGGCATCTGATCTCCTGGGACTGGAGTTCTGGGCAGTTACGAGCCATCCTATGTTGGGAACTGAACTTGGGTCTTCTGAAAGAGTAACAAGTACTCTGAGCATCTCTTCAGGTCCCTAGAGTGACCTACTTGATGGGGTTATTGATGCCAAATGGTAATGTTTAATTCTATTGCCCATAGGCAGGTAGTATAAGTTCCTTCTATGATACACAGGGACTCAATGTGGGCCTGCCCTTCTCTCTGGCTAAAGCCATCACCATAAGCCCATGAAAAACCTGGAACTTAGTGATGAAAAAACAAACAAACAAACAAACAAACAAAAAGAAGCAAATCCCGCTTTCTGAAGAAATCATTTCTGGAGAGCAGGGTGTCGGCCTAACTCTGTGTGCGTGCTTCCCTCAGGCACACTCACTGTAGTCCACGTCGTCCTCGGGCAGCGAGGCTGCATAGTCAAAATAGGTGGCATTCCAGCGGAGCTCTCGGGCCTTGGTGTCATACATGGTGATGGTGTACTCTAGGGAGCACAGACCGGTCAGTTACCGTGGCGGGCTGGAGAACTACCGTGCTGTTACATAGCTACGACCAGAAGTTTTCACTAAATTGCATCAAGACTATCCGTGGGCAAAGACCAGGTAGAGGACTGAAGTCTCAGATACAAGAGGGAACCTGACAGAGACAAGTCACCCTGCCCTTGCTCTGCTCTGAAACCTACAGTTACAGAAGCGTTAGCCATATGGCTGTTTTTGGCCACTAAGTCTCAGGGTTATTACAGAGTAAAACACAGGCGATGTTAGAAATAGATGCCTAAGCCAGGCAGTGGTGGCGCACACCTGTGACCCCAGCACTTGGGAGGCACAGACAGGCAGTTCTCTGTGGGTTTGAGGCCAGCATGGTCTGTAGTGTGAGTCCAGGACAGCAAGGGCTGTAACACAGAGAAACCCTGTCTAGAAAAACCAAAACCAAATTTAAAAAAAAAAAAAAAAAAAAAAAAAAGAAAGAAAGAAAAAGAAAAAGAAATAGGTACCTAGAAGTGGGAGGTACCATAACAAAAACCTAAAACAGGTGGCACTGACTTTGGGACTAAGTGGTGGAAGGTAGAAAGGGTGACAAGTGGAGACAGTGTGAAAGAGCAGTGAGGAAACCACTAGGGTAGCCTAGTTATGAGCTTACATAGTACCTAACTACTAAGGCTACTACATGCAGCAACTTGGAAGACAGAAAAGGTACCTACTGCTCAGGGATCTAGCTAATGTGATTCAAGGCAGCAGGCAGAAAGAGCTAAGTGGTTTTCCTAACTGTGCATGACACGCTACAAGAAACTGCTTCAGTTTCCTTCCGAACAGGGATACAGAGGAAAGAGAGTACAGAGGAATATAGAGGAAAGAGAGCTCAGGATGGACTCTCCAGCTGGAAAAGACACATTAAAAAAAAAAAAAAAAAAAAAAAAAAAAAAAAAAAAAA